GGCCGCCGGGGAAGCCGCGGAGGCTCGCTCTCCGCCGGCCCCGCGGGAGTAATTTACATGCTGTCACAGTCCCGCGCTGACTCCAGGGCGTGCAGCTCGCTTCCTAGCTCACTCGCGCTCAGCTCCTGCCACCGCTCAGCCGGCACAGCCCAGGGAAGCCCGAGAGCGAGAGAGCCGGCGATCCGCCTAAGGAGGGAGCACAGGAGGGAGGGAGCCAGGACGCCCTGCTGCCCGCCCTTCCTGCCGCCACAGGTCGGCCCTGAGCCCCGCTCACACTTGGGAAACTTGGGACTCGCTGGGGCTGCGTGTGGCACCTCAGGGGGGCGGCCTCAGCCTCAGAGGAGGAGGAAGAAGTTAGCCCGAAGGATCCGCTCCGAGCTGTTTGTCCAGCTGTTTCTATTCGCACCCCGGGCAGCCCAGCAAAGAAGGGGGCCCAGCAGAGGGGTGGCCGGCTTAGGCGCTAATTGCCACCTCTTCTCCTCACAGCTTGTCTTTTCCAGGCAACCTGGAGTCCCCTCAGGCCAGCCTGGAGGGCGCGCGCCTGCCAGCCGCCCCTGATCTCACGGGCCAGGCAATCCTCGAGCCCGAGGAGATGGCCCAGCCCAAGACCGACTGCCGCTCACCTGTCGGTCTTGACTGCTGTAGCTGCTGCCTGGACCTAGCCCACAGGAGCGAACTCCAGGGAGACAGCAGCGGGGAGAACAACAATCCGGGTAGTCCCACCGTGAACAACTTTCGGCAGCTGCAGGAGAAGCTAATCTTCGAGAACCTCAACACCGACAAGCTCAACAGCATAATGCGGCAGGATTCCTTAGAGCCGGTGCTGCGGGACCCCTGCTACCTGATCAACGAGGGCATCTGCAACCGCAACATCGACCAGACCATGCTCTCCATCCTGCTCTTCTTCCACAGGTGGGTGGCTGGGCACACGGGGGTGGGGGGCATGCGGTCTCCGCTCGCGCCAGCCTCTGCTGGACCCTCTCCTCTGACAAAAGGGGCAACCAGAAAGTTGGCGAAGGGCACTGGGGAGATCGGGCTTCCCGGCTGCCATGGCTGAATTCTATGGAGCTGAGAGGAGGCCTGGCAGGTGCAAGCCCTACTCTGAAGGGTGCCTGCAAAGGCTTTCCTGTGGACGAGGATGCCGGGGCCCAGAAGGTGGGCAGACCCCTGGGTGGTTTTAGGGTAGCTGACGGTATCCTTCCTCAAAGGCATAACGTTTCTGCAGACACTTTGGAGATTCTGCCATGGGATGTTCTTACTTCTCAAAAGCCCTAATAGAAATGTGCCAACTCGGATTGAAACTGCAAGGGCTTTTAAATTACTGGGTGGCCCTGACTGACAATGAGGGCAAGCAAAATTTCTAGATAAATTAAGCCAGTAGTGGTGTTGGGGAGGGCGGAGAATAAGAAAAATCAGAGACTTGTGAGAATTTTTTTGAGACTCTGAATGGGGAGACCTCACCCCCTCCATGGATCATAGCCTTGAATTTCAAATAATGGCTACAAACAGCCCCAGAGAGCATCCTAGGACATCTTTTTGAGTACCTCAAGAACTGTGTTTGGCGGGGGGCGCTGGATGAATCCTTGTCATCATGGGTGTGTGTATGTTGGAATGTGGGTCAGACTTTCTAGAAATCCTGCTGGGGAGGCAAGGAAGAGAGAGGGGAGGGGAAACACAATGGGAAGACCCAGGGTGGGCACTGTCCCTCAGCCTGGGGGGGGGTTCTGGTAAGAGCCAGCCTTGGGGAACAACTGAGGCAATTTAGAGGCAAGTGAGGCGACGTCAAGAAACCCAGACTTTTGGTGTTCTTAGAGCCGTCGGGACAGGGCACCAGTGTATGTGTATGGAGGGGTAGATTTTATTCTTCCGCGCCGACATAGGTGACATAGGTTATGTAAGAGAAAGAGACTCCCCGATGTCTCTCAAAGGTTCCTTCTAGCTCTGAGATTCTAGGACCTGGGCAAGTAGTGTGCCCAGTCAAGGTACCAGCCGAGGAATTGGTTCTCATAATGATAACAAATTTGGGGCACCCATAAAACATTTGGACGGCTTTTCAGTGAGGCACAAACAGGAAAGTTTAAAAGCAATCGAGAAAGACAGGAGCTACCCTCACTTAGCGCTAAGACCAGGTTTGCCTCCCTTTGCCCCAAAGCAAATCCACCATCGCTTCCCCTCCTGCTCCTAGCCCCAGTGGGTTCTAGGTGCCTGGACATGCAGGACTGCCAACTTGGTTAGCAATACTATAACCAGTTGTATTTCTCAGGCACTTTCAATACATCAAAGCCCTTTCCTACCTATGTTTTCACTTTAGGCATCAGATTATCTCCTTGTGTAAAATAAACCAGGCTGCGGATGGAACAGGTTGGGAGGGCATCTTCATTTCTGGTGAAAGATTACTAACAAGTGTATTCAGACCACAGATGCTGAAACCCTGCAGAGCGAAATCCTTAACAGGCTCCTAACAATCCTGCTCAACTCTGTTGGACAGTGACAGCGGGTGGGGGTGGAGGGGAGGGGTGGCGGAAAAACCTGGAAAGAGTGAGTGTAGCATTTGCATTCTTTAAACCGAGAAAGAAACTGCCCTGTAAATGACTCTCCTTTAACTCTATCCAGAAGAGTTTGGTGAAGAGTGAGAGGGGTGCTTCCCTAGGTTCTGAGTCTAGGAGGGTCGGACCTGGGTGAGTGGGATATGAGGCTGAGAGTCTCAGAGCCTGAGATCAAAGTGTTCATGTGTCCCTTGCCTTGGGAGGTTTTCTGATTGTCTGGGCTCCTTGAATAGAAATACCTCCTTTGTCATAAACTTCATGGACACCTGTTTATTGACTCTTGGTCCTTGGCAAAGCCTGGAAATGCTATGGGGTGGGAGATGGGGGGCGCCGAGCGTATCAGTTGAGGGAGGAGGAAGAATTGTTGGGGGGATCGTGTCTGAGCACCCTGCCTCCTGGGATCAGGGCATCTCAGTATCCTAAATAGCTGTGGAGCAAACTAGCAAGCCCCTAGTCTTCCTTGAGGCAGGAGGGTGACAGGGTCCTGTGGTAACAGCCTTATAGTTCTAATGGGACAAAACATTCCCTCATTTTCCTTGACAACTGGGACCCTATAGACTGAGGAGCCTGAATCTGGTTTAGGTTTTGCCCAGAATGACATGCTTATTAGCAAACCAGGAGATCGTTGTTGGTGGTTATTACGAGGCCTCTCGGATGCCTGGGCTGGGCAGCCTTCACCTAAGTAAGTGAAAAATCTGCTCTCTTTCCTACTTCATTTATTCCCTGGGTTTCCATCTTTGCATTTCAGCTATCGTTTTTACTTCTATTGCATTTAATGATTGGATGTCTCCATTTTCTGTTTGGGTGTCTTTCCCCTTTGATTTGCCTACTTTCAAGGCCACCTGTTATCCTGGAGAAGCTACTGTCCCTGTCGCCGCCCCACCACCCCCTCGCAACTCCTGCAGCCCATCCCCCTGGGAAGAAGGGCGGGGCACATTCATTCCTGATTTATATCTGGTTTGTCTGTTTGACCTGTCTCTGCCTCCCAGCTTAACTCTTGGTTTCTTTGGAGCACAAGACTGTAAGCAATTTGAGGGTAAGAAACAAAAAACCAAACTCGAGTTGATTCCGACTCATAGTGACCCTATAGGCAGAGTAAAACTGCTCCACAGGGTTTCCAAGGCTATAAATCTTTATGGAAGCAGATTGACACATTTTTCTCCCTCAGAGCGGCTAGTGGGTTCAAACCGCCAACCTTTCAGTTAGCAGCCAAGTTCTTTAACCACCGCACCGCTGGGGCTCCCGCAATTGGAGGGTAGGGCTGTGTTTTATATTTGCTTGATTTTCCCTCAGCTTTCAGTTATACAGTTGATACTCAGTAAAGTTTTTTTAGTCGGTTGACTGCTTCATTGTTAGTGTGGTCCCATGTAAAGATTTTACAACTTTAACCTAGTCCTGCAAAACCCTTATTAAGGTTCAAATGTGGTTTTCTCGGTTTCATCCACACGCAGGAACTCTAAAAGCCTGGTAGAAGTACTGATGGACACTCTTGTCTATATACATATAAATCATCGTCTGTAATGAAGGAGCCCTGGTGGCACAATGGTTAAGCACTAGGCTGCTAATCGAAAGGTTGGTTGGCTGTTTAAACCTACCCAGCCGCTCTGCGGGAGAAAGCTGGCGATTTGCTCCCGTAAAGATTATAGCCTAGAAAACCCTATGGGACAGTTCTACTCTGTCACACGGGGTCACTATGAGTTGAAAATTGACTTGACGCCACCCAGCAACAACAACAGCAGTAATGGGCCTGGCAGCTTGTTGGTATGGAAATAGTGCCTTTAAACTATTAGGGGGAAGTCGCGTGTTTTAAACACCATCCCTTCCATCTTACGTTACATAACTAATAACTAAAATTGATTCATAGCTAACATTTATTGAGTGTTTACACTGTTGTTGATGTGTGCCATCAAATCAATTCTGACTCATGGTGACCCTATAGGACAGAGTAGAAGTGACCCGTAGGGTTTCCTAGGCTGTAATCTTTATGGGAGCAGATTGCCAGGTCTTTCTTTTCTCCTGCAGAGCCGTTGGGTGGGTTCAAACTGCCAACCTTTCAGTTAGCTGCCCAGTGCTTAACCATTGCCCTGCTGGGGCTCCTTGTTTACAATGTACTAAAGCATTAAATGAGATTGTCTGTATAATGTCATTCAATATTTACACCAACCCTATGAGATGAGCACTATTATCACCCATCTTGATTTATCACTCTTCTTCATCTTATGAAAAAGGAAATTGAGGCTTGGAGAAATTAAGAAACTTGACCAATGCCTCACAATGAGGAGCAGAGCCAAGACTCCAACTGAGTTCAGTCAGACACTAAAGAATTGTCTATGAAGAAAGAATTGCTAAGCAGAGATAAATGTGAGCCCCGATCCTATCCAAATGCTCCAAATGTCCTTAGTAGATAAGGTGACCAACTGTCCTGGTCCCAGGACACGAAACTTTCAGTGCTCAAAATTGGACAGTCCCAGGAAAACTGGGATGGTTGTCACCCTATTATTAGGGTCCACCACCTAGTTGTTTGGATCTGCATCTAATACTGGAAAACTTAGCAGGGAGACAGAAAATTTCGGGAAAATAACTGAATTTCCAATTTAAATATAGCATATTAAAAAAAAAAAAACTTCTTAAGTTGAAATTTGAGGGACTTTACCTCTGTGATCTGTGAGATGTGGCAGACTAGAGTGGGAGCTTTTGCAATATTCTGTTGTGATTACTGTTACTATTGTTACCTCAAATTTATTTCTAAGGTTTTATCCCAAACTTCTTAATCAGCTGTATTCTGCCTTTGGGCCCAGAGCATACCTGCCCAGTGTGATCTGAGATACTCTGAATCTGAATTCCCTTCCAGCTCTAAAAAGCCCTAGGATTCTACCTTTGAGCCTCTGTCCTGGCAACAATTGGTTCCCACACATAGATGCTCAGAGAATAATAGCAATAACAATAACAACAACAATAGCAAACATTGCTATTTATTTTATGTGTGCTAATTCATTTAATATCATTGAACATCCTCTATCAGTTGCTAATCTAAAGGTTGGGCTGTTCGAACCCGCCCAGCGGCTCTGGGCCATACGCTCCGGTAAAGATTACAGCCTAGAAAACCGTATGGGGCAGTTCTACTCTGTCACGTGGGGTCACTATGAGTCCAAATAGACTTGACGGTACTGAACAAAAACAACAATTGAGCTGATGTATAGTAGCAAAAGGAAGGAGATAGATTCAGAGATCAGGTTTCCACGAAAAATTTGCTTAAAAAATTATTTGTACTTCTCTAAGTGAGCCTTGGAGCCCCGGTGGCGCAGTGGTTAAGTGATATGGTTGCTAACCAAAAGGTCGGCTGTTTGCGTTCACCAGCCACTTTGG